GAATGATGTGGACGGTGGTGATTTATTTGCTACTAATTTTGTTTACTTGAGGAGAAATTCGAAGCAATCAATACGGCAATATTTAATTAGCAGGAGAATGAAAATATATTAATATGCCATCCAAGTTCATGCAAAAACTATAAGTTGGATTTATGTATTGTGAATATTGGAAAGGGAAGCGAGCTTTTATAATGAGATGGGCGATCAAGTTTGGGCTACGATACAAAATCATTTATTTATTATGAATAAAAGTGGGGTGTAGCGTCTAACGCAAGATGATGTGGCAATTCATTCTAGAGTAACCGGAGTGCCTTTTGGGACAATGTACATCGGAGATCGGATAGCTTTACCGCGTTCATTTTCATCTTTTCACTACTCCCATCCTCCCTTGTACGTCCCCTCGTGGGATGAGGTATAGGTATGAATATCTATCCCTACTTTCCTGGCTAGCAAGCACACAATAATAAGTGCCATATATGCAAATACTCATCTTAAGATTAAAGTCTACCCGAATAAATAAAAAACACCAAAGCGTTAATCTAAATCGAATAAAGATTGTTGAGAAAGTGAAGAAAAGAACTATGCGAGTACCGGTCCTATCACCTACCTTTGAGAGTTTTGTTTTGCACCTTGTGCCTATCTCCTTTCATTTCAGGACATGCTTTCTAGGACTTTCCAAATTGAGCCAAGGGTCGAACTAGCCAAGTGAAGATAGTTACTAGAACCCCGACTCCGATGAAACACATCGAGGGAAGAGACATAAGGGGCTTCGAGTTGCATAGTTTGATCATGTGTTTGCTTGGGGACAAACAAACGGCTAAGTGTGGGGAGTTGATAACACCCAAAAAGGTGTTACTTAGCCTTGATTTATTAAGTGTTTTTATGTCATTTTGACCATGATTTAATTTACAAAACATCATTTGTACCCAAGATTGCTTCCTTTTGTCATTTCGCGTCATTTTGAGTTGCAATTAAAGTTAAAAGCAAAAAAGGGAAGAAAATGAGGCTAAAGTGTAGGAAAAGGAGCCAAAATGTAGTTCGCAGGTGAAGGAGTGAAGATCACGGCCGAGATGTAGGGACGCGAAGTAGGGCATGCAGATCGCGGCTGCAAACTATGGAGCTTCGGGCGGGAACTTGAAGATGCAGCCGTCAAGGAAGGAACATAAATTCTTGATAGTCGATTCGTAACTCTCTTCATCCGAGCCAACGAGAAAGATAACGATCGTGAATTCAGTCTGCGATCTCCAAGGCCATACTAGACCAAAGTCGCTGAAGACAGGAGATCGCGGCCTCTCTCCAAAAATTCTATAAATAGGGGACTCCTCCCCTTGAATAGATGTCTTTTGACAGGTTTCTTGTTCAACAATGAGGTTAAAGAGAGAAGTAGAAGCTAGAAGAAGAAGTGGATGAGGGCTTTGGAGGAGGATTTTCAACAATTGAAGATCCTTTCCTCATGATTTCTTTCCCTCTTTGCATGTCTCTTCTTCCCCCTTTCATGGGGTAATCCCTCTAGGTACTTTAGGGCGTAGTCCCCCAAACCCTAGAATTAGGTTCTGAAGGTAGATGTAATTGTGTGATGGTTTATGTATGGATATGTTTTCTTTAGTGATTATATGCTTCATTTATGCTTAATTATGTTGGGGTGTGTCTCTCCAACTCTTCCCTACTAGCCTACAACTAAGTCTAGAACTATGTGGGAATTTTAGGGTTAGATTGGATTTGAGCACCATATGGTTAATTAAGGGTAGACGAACGAGTTATGGTTCCTTAGTGTACGAGGCAATCGAACTCCTACTATAAGCATGCCCTCCTAAGCAATGCTAGAGAGGTTGTACGGGTTCTGATCGAAACGCCAATCTAGTGTGCATAATAGGTTGAACCTACTGAGAGAAACTAAGTGAGCATCCCTAGTATGTGAAATTTGATTGAGATGACATTGGGTCTCTGGAATCATGCTAGGAGGAAGAAAGTAATCATTGAAACCATCTGCTGAGCGGGTTCCGCACTCTATCCTACAAACTCAATGTAGTTAGCCATTCGCATGATAAACCTAAGTTTAGGACGAGGGAGTTACCTCAAGTAATTCTTCTCCTCTTTTGACCTTTAGTTTAGTAATTAATGTCCAACTGCCCACCTGCTAAGTAACAGATTGACTAGATAACAACCGAGTCTAAGTAGCATAGGATACCGTGACCCTTGGAATATGACTTCGGTTACATCTATACTACTTCTCTGATCCAGAGTGAACTTTCCTAGATAAGGATAACTAGTATTATCGACAATCGAGTTTATAAATATAAAGCTCGATGCCCGAAATGCATCATGTATAGTAATGACAAATCCCATATTGTCTAGGCTGCAACTAATGAAAATGGGATACAGATAATCCCACACTAATTTATGTCTAAAGCACTCCTACCCAAGGTAATAGATCTCTCACCTAGGTTAAGAACAAATCAATCACAATCAAGCAAGAGATTTATTCACAATCATCAAATAGACGTAGATTATATGCTCAAAATCATTCAAACACATGACTCATACACAATTTATAAGCTACGGTTCATCTTCCCTAAACAACCTTAGAGATTCAAATCATAGAGAGAGGAAGAAAATACAAACAAAGAAGAGGAGTGGTGGAAATCATCTTCTTCTCCTTCGATTGGGCCTTCTCCTGGCTCCTTCGGTGGATTGGATCTTCCTCTAAGCTCTCCCAATGTGTTTCTCTCTCTAAAAACTGCCCAAAATCCTAATTTTCTCACTCTATCTTGGCTCTCCTTTCTCAATCCAACAACTCTTCTATTTATAGGCCCTATATATCTTGGCCAAGATCACGACTGTGATCTAGTCTTGTTGACTAACAATCTTTAGCTTTGTCTATTAGTCTTGGCCGAGCGAGAGATTGCACCCTATGTTCACGGGCGCAAACTTTGTCATGCGGCTGTGATTTTTTGATCTCGGCATCAATCAACGTGGCTTGTGATCCGCCTAGCAAAACTCCATGTTCATTCTTTGACTCGTCCTAAAGATCAGACCCATGAATGTCGAGATCGCGCCCGCGATCTCCTAGCTGCAACCTGCAATCTTTAGCTGGACTTTGCTGGTTGGTTGGCTGGCTTCTCGGCTGACATCCTGCTTGTTAGGCTACGATCTTGTTCCTTTCTCCCTTTTGCTCGTTTTTTCTACACATTAGCCCCATTTTGTCCCCTTTTTTGCTTGTAACGTCAAATGCGACCTAAAATGACTTGATATGATAAAAATAAGTGATCAAGGCTACAAATACATGTTATATAATAATTCATGCCCAAAATGACAATAAAACACCTAATAAATGAGGGCTAAATAACACATTTTTGGATGTTTTAAGGAATAGATCATATTCTAAGGGAACCTTATACTTACTATTACTTTACTCTAAACTACTCTCCAATTAAATAGAAAGAAAGGTTTAAGAACTAAACGAACCTACATAAATAAACAACCAACTAAGGAGTTTGGAGGTTTATAGCGATGAGATGGTTGTCTAGGATCGAATCATTCTAGTAGTAAGATAGGTAGTCAATTAATTTCTATGGCTATTCGTGGTGCGAAGGTCACTAGAGTGGGGTCAGTGTAAAGGTCATGTCGCTTGACCCCCTTCTAGCCACGTCCAACGATCCATTGTTACTTCAGTTGCTCCTTCTAACTAGGAATAGTTTCTACCTTCTCTAATCGAGTCTAACTCGTCCGCCCAAGCCCGATGAGTCAATGGCCATGCACTCATCTTGGTGAGCTCCTAGTTTCCACGTCATGGTCACCTCGTCGGTCAACTAGGATTCTCAATCAAGTAACATAGATAGGATCAATCATCCATACACTATCAAGAACAAACGAGCAAACCTAGAGCTAATTCATGCCTATATAACAAATCGCAATCAAGTACGTAAACTAAATTTTAAAGAATTTCAATAAAATGAATATTATGACTAATTAATTCATGATACAAACTTTTATTAGTATAGCTTATGATCAAACAATAAATTTAGCCGGGTACAAGCTAGTTCATTTAGCAATTGACCAATGATTGAAGAAACTAAACCAAAATCAAGAGGACAATGATGAACAAGGTTGTCAACCCGCGGGCTGACCCGGACCCGATCGAGCTAGTGGGTTAATCGTTAAGTGGTAACCCATTTTAGCCCATTTTAGCGTGGAAATATGTAAATAGTGATTATATTGTACTTATCCTCATAAATTATATCAAATCGCATCTAACATATGAGTAATAACATAAATAGTGATTATATTGTACTTGTAACGGTCGACCCAACGAATGCGTGCGGCCTATTTTTCTCACCGAGTCAGAGTCAAAGTGAGTCCACCCGGCGTCGGACAACCTTGATGATTAATAAAAACAATTTCATTAAGCAAAATCCATCGTTTCCCTTTGTGTTTCTTTGCTTTGCTTCCTCCCCCAACTCCTTTCTTCAACGTTCTTTTACCACCGAACGGCAAACCATCCCACCATCCCTCTCACTCAACAAAAAACTAGAATCCACCCATAAAACCGGCCCCCTGCCCTTCTGCCTCAGCTCCGCCGCCTCTCGCCGCTCCCTCTCTCTTAATCCTCCACAAACCGACGCCTAATTCCCGGTTATTTCCCGTCATTCTGGTTTTCTAGATTTCCCTCCAAATAGTATCCCTCTTCTTCCCCTCCCACGCCTCCTATTCCCAAACCCTAATTCTTTTCCCTCTCCCTCTCCGCTTCCCTCGTAGCCACCGTACAATTTTCCTCCGATCATCCACGCCTCTTCGTTTTCCCTCCCATCTCTCCGTTCCAGAACATATTTGACCGGAGTCGGACAGTTATTTGATTGCTGAGATTCTCTTGTTTTGAGCGCTGGCGTTGCTCCGTTTTCCTTCTGATTCACTGGCTATTTGACAATTTTCCTCGGGGTTGAAGTTGGAGATCGGTGTTGGTTTTGCGGGCGAGGAGTTTGAAGAATTGGGATCCGAGAGAGATGAGTAACCAGAAGAAGAGGAACTTCCAGATAGAGGCGTTCAAGCACCGGGTCGTGGTGGATCCGAAATACGCAGATAAGACCTGGAAGGTTCTGGAGCATGCTATCCACGAGATTTACAACCACAACGCCAGTGGCCTCAGCTTTGAAGAGCTCTACAGGTTTTTGTTCCGCCTTTCAGTCTGATTAGTCGATGGATGACTTTTTTTTTTGTTTTTTTTTGTTTTTGGTGTTTGTGCCGAGTATGGGCACCGAATCTTTTTAGATTACAGAGGCCGGTGCTACGAATCGTTGATTACTAGTAGATGGGAGTGAAATGGATTCATAGCAGTTTCAGAGTATTATTATCAGTGTGTTCACTTTCTGGAGCCTGGTGATTTCAGTCTCTTGATTGCTCAGCGCAACTTGCTTTGCATGAGTTTCTGTGGTATGCCGCTGATGTAGTAATTACAATTGCCCTAGTACGGAACATTTCCTTTTGAGATTGAGATTGCTTTAGTTGATTATGCCGGGCCATTCTGCATTTGTTTTAGGCGGTGTTTTCTGAATTAGACCAGGTTTAGAGTCTTACGGGACAGTGGTATAAAAAATTATGCGTACTTGTTCTTTCCTTCTTACATTTGAGTGAATTCAAAGGGGAGAAATGATAAAGACTCCTGAAGAATCCTTCTTGCTATCTCTTGGAAAAAATTATTGGGGCTTCGTTCTGTTCTATATGTATACTTCATGTCAATTTAGGCAACATTTTCCTTAGGTAACCATTCCAAATTGACAGCAGAAAACGCAGGGGTTCGGTTCTGGATTGCTCCTTTTAATTAATTTTCTTGGTATCCAACTTATTTAGTACCATTTGGTTGCTCCTCTGGAATGTGCACTTATTGCCGGATAAAAATGACAAGTCGAGTGCTTTGACTGTTAAAGTCCTCTTTTTTCTTATACCATTGCCGTTTTGGTGGTTTCTGCAGGAATGCTTACAACATGGTTCTCCACAAATTTGGTGAGAAGTTGTATTCTGGCCTGGTTTCAACTATGACCTCACATCTAAAGGAGATATCTAAAGCTATTGAGGCTGCCCAGGGAGAATCCTTTTTGGAGGAGCTGAACAGGAAGTGGAATGACCACAACAAAGCGCTGCAGATGATCAGAGACATATTGATGTACATGGACAGAACTTATATCCCTAGTAATCATAAAACCCCTGTTCATGAGCTAGGCCTCAACTTATGGAGAGATAATATTGTTCGCTCCAGCAAAATCCAGACCAGGCTATTGAACACTCTTCTGGACTTGGTCCACAGAGAACGAACTGGCGAAGTAATAGACCGTGGTCTGATGAGAAACATAATTAAGATGCTGATGGATTTAGGTTCTGCAGTTTACCAGGAAGATTTTGAGAAGCATTTTCTTGAAGTTTCTGCCGAGTTTTACAAAGTTGAATCTCAGAAGTTCATCGAATGCTGTGATTGTGGTGAGTATCTGAAGAAAGCTGAGAAACGTTTGAATGAAGAGATAGAGAGGGTGACACACTACTTGGATACTAAGAGCGAGATCAAAATCACCAATGTGGTGGAGAAGGAAATGATTGCGAATCACATGCTGAGACTTGTCCATATGGATAATTCAGGCTTGGTCAACATGCTTCTCGATGATAAATATGATGACTTGGGAAGAATGTATAACTTATGCCGCCGAGTACCTAATGGTCTTCTTACAATCCGAGAAGTAATGACTTCTCATCTTAGAGAAACTGGCAAGCAACTCGTTACTGATCCCGAAAGGTTAAAGGATCCAGTGGAGTTTGTGCAGCGGCTCTTGGATGAGAAGGACAAGTATGACAGCATCATAAACAAAGCCTTTATCAATGACAAGACATTCCAGAATGCTTTAACAAATTCGTTCGAATACTTCATTAATTTGAATGCTCGTTCCCCTGAATTCATCTCGCTGTTTGTTGATGACAAGCTGCGGAAGGGGCTAAAGGGAGTCAGTGAAGAAGATGTGGAGATCATTCTAGACAAGGTGATGATGTTGTTTAGGTATTTGCAGGAGAAAGATGTGTTTGAAAAGTATTACAAACAACACTTAGCTAAGAGACTTTTGTCGGGTAAAACCGTATCAGACGATGCAGAGAGAAGTCTAATTGTTAAACTCAAGACTGAATGTGGGTACCAGTTTACTTCAAAATTAGAAGGTATGTTCACAGACATGAAGACTTCGCAGGACACAATGCAAGGATTTTATGCAAGTCATCCCGAGCTAGGAGAAGGGCCCACACTCGTAGTTCAGGTTTTGACAACTGGGTCTTGGCCAACTCAGCCTAGCGCCACCTGCAACTTGCCTTCTGAAATGTCGGCACTATGTGAGAAGTTCAGGTCGTATTACCTAGGGACTCATACGGGTAGAAGATTGTCGTGGCAAACGAACATGGGGAATGCAGATATGAAGGCGAGTTTTGGGAAAGGTCAGAAGCATGAGCTGAATGTTTCGACGTATCAAATGTGCGTTCTAATGCTCTTCAACAATGCTGAGCGGCTTAGTTACAAGGAGATTGAGCAGGCGACTGAGATTCCAGCCCCTGAATTGAAGAGGTGCTTGCAGTCCATGGCTTGTGTGAAGGGCAAAAACGTGCTTAGGAAAGAGCCCATGAGCAAAGAGATTGGTGAAGAAGATGCTTTCTTTGTGAATGACAAGTTCTCAAGCAAGTTTTATAAGGTGAAGATAGGAACGGTGGTTGCACAGAAGGAATCCGAGCCTGAGAAGCAAGAGACACGGCAGCGAGTGGAAGAGGACAGGAAACCGCAGATTGAAGCTGCAATAGTTAGGATCATGAAGTCAAGGAGGGTATTGGATCACAACAACCTAATCAGTGAGGTCACAAAGCAATTACAACAACGGTTCCTCCCCAATCCGACTGAGATCAAGAAGCGGATCGAGTCGCTTATTGAGCGGGATTTCTTGGAAAGGGATAACGTGGACCGAAAACTTTACCGGTATCTTGCATAATTTTCGATGGCGGGAAAAAAATGTGGTGGAAACAAGCAGGTTGCAGGTTTTCCTTGTCTCTTTATGGTTGTGGATTTTAACATTGAGAATCTGCAAAGATGTACTCTCCCCTGTTGTTGGTAAGTGAAAAAATTGTGTTAGTTCTCTTGCGGAGTTATGTGGTGGTTTCTTTCTCCCCGTAATGAACAGATTTATTTTGCTTCTGTTCTTTTTCTTGTCTGTTAAGCGTGCTGCCTTTCGTGTTTGCAATTGCATAGCCAGTCCATGCTTTATTAGGCTATAGATTAGATTGTCCAGAACGTAACAATGGTGGATTTGGGATGTGTTGGCAGAATGATGTTTCCAGATGAGGGGATAGTATCATGTTCCTTCCAAACTCGGTTTTAATCGACGAGGCGAGCAAGGAATAGTTGGTAGAAGCTTCCAAACATTTTTTGTATTGTTTCCCTCTGACTTGTTTGTTGGGGGGACGTTTCTTTTTCCAGAAGGCTAATCACATTATTCTGTGTTGAAGGTTGTTTATTATCCAAATTGGCCTCAAAGAGCATGTTACGTGGGACACTTTTGATGCATGAGTTTTGCTTCATTGGTACTAAGACAATGATCTTATTATCAAGAGTGCAAGATTCTTCTTTGGGTTCCATCTGCCCACTGTTAAGAACTGGGGTCTGCACTTCACCTCATTCGAACAACAAGAAAAGCTTGTGCACTTTTACACTTTCACTACTTCCACTGTTTACAAGTTAGAACTGCAGTCGTTGCTTAACGAGAGAATCCGTCTTGCCTCTTACTCGGAATGTGAATGTATTTCCCCCCTACTCTTTTAAGTATCGTCCTGTCCTGTGCTATGTAAGAAGCGGTTTTGTATATCGGCAAAGGTCTTTATGTCAGTTCCCCACAGCCTGAGCAATATAGAGTTTTGAGGTTAAAAAATGATCATAACCCAGCTCGTTTTATAGCCATGAAATCATGTAGTAATGTAGTTGGAGAAGTGGGGAATATACTTTACCAGCAGTCCATCCCAATGGCATTGGCTCCTTCCTTGTCTGCCTTGAAATCATCTCCAACGTGTACGGCTCTGCCAGCCGCCACATTCACTTCATCTTCAACAAATGAACCCAGCAAGCATAAAGGGATCAGAACCATCACTCAGGCTGCAGCAAAAGAACCGGGGCAGCTATAGATGCATGTACCTAGAGCAGCGTGGAAGATCTTTGGATCTGGCTTCTCGTATCCCACCTCTGAAGATACAATCACAGTGTCGAACCTGGAAACGAAAAACATCCTTGTGTAACTTCCCAGTACAAAGTTAGCAGAGCTGGGGATCATGTGAATTTGATGCTTACAGATGAGAAATGTTCAAGTCCTTCAGCAGCTTCCTCAACCGAGTATCGAAATTGGAAACAACAGCTACCTTAACTGTTTTAAGTGTTATGATAACCCTTTAGAAGATTTGAACGAGAGGAGGCGTTTCGAGACAAGCAAAGGAGAGAGTGAGAGAGAGGCTCAGACCTCCAACATCTTTCAGGAGAGAAATGGTGTCGTAAGCCCCAACTGGTAGCCTCCAGGCATCTCCATTTGCATAGTACTGCAGAAAACCCAGCAGCCCAAATGAGTTTCCCTTGCAATGAAGCAGAATTAAAATTACAGTTTGTAGTTACAACGACCTCGTAGACTTCTTCGAAGTAATCCTGGTTATCTGAGCCAGTGGCTTCAGAAACAACCAGCTTCCAGAAAGGCCTCCCATCTCCCTGCAAAATCACCACAAACAGCCATATCAATCAATGTATTGTAAGCAGCTAACTGCTTCCATGTTTTACTTGTAATTATAACGCCCACCTGGTATCGAAGCTTTTCAGGCCACGGAGCAGCAAAAGCTCTCCTAAAACCCTGTTTTACTTCAGCTGGAGTTGCAGTCAAGCCTACAGGAAGTAGAATTTAGGGGATTTTCAGATTCAGGGTAGGTAGTCCCATGGTAGCAATGAACGCGGTCGCCGCGCGGAAAGAAGAAACCTGACCGTATTTGGTGCCGATGGAAGCGTAAATTTCTTCCACGGGTTTGGCCAATTGCAAAAGAGTTCCGCCGGCGTCCAGTAATAATGCATCGTACACCTTCTCTCCAGAATTTGCTCCTCCTGGAACTGGGGAGAAGGAAGAAGAAAAACCATAACAACGGCGACGAAAGACGGCGACTTTCATGAGATTATTGAATACCCAGAAGCATGTTTGAGGGAAAAGTGAGAACAAAGAAGGAATTTCCCACCGGAATGGATGGGCATGGAAGAAGATCTACGAACAAAATTCGAGAGCCTGAGGTTCTGAGATCTCAACAGTGGAATCCCGTTGGAGCATTTCGTCAAACAGGCTTCCATCCTCTTTCTTCTTTTTTCCCCCGTCAGTGATCAAAACTCCAGCCGGCCGCGAGAACAGAAGGTAAGGTGTAGAATCTTGGGAACTATAATACAAAGAGAAGACTTTGGGATGGCCGAGGGGCGAGGGTGAGATATTGGAGGAAAAAAAAAAAAGGACTTTGCTACCGTGAGTGCGTGTTTATATGGTGACATGTATTTTCCGGTCGACCTCATATAGGATTAGGTAGACCTCATATAGGATTATGTCGACCTAATCTGTTGTCTCAGTGTAAAAATAATTTTATGGTGCCTACTTTGGAATTCATATCTTACAATTGGCTAGATGGAAATTGGAGATTAATGGCTTATTTTGAAGCTGAAGTGTCCCTCTACTCATTAAAGTACTTGCGAGCTCGATAGGAAGTCCAGAAGACCATTTTTTAACCTAATCAAAAGGCTATGCCAAAACTGGGAAACTACCTTAAATGACTAAGTCTGGGAACATGTTTGGGAAGCCTACTTTGGAGCTCAATTTGAGAAATATGGATGCGAGTCGAGTCCAGAGGCTTATACCACGTTAAATTAGGTATGTTTTTCTACAAAGGTAAGGAATTGGATGCAAGATTGGATATCTTTAAGGTTTCAAACAAAAGGTATGTCTGTCAGAAAAACAACCTTCGTAACAACTTCGACCCTTTTGTTTGAAGTCTTACAGATATCCAATCTTTCATCAAATGCCTTGAATTTGTGTAAAAACATACCTAATTTAACGTGGTAGAGGCCCCTATACTCGACTCGCATTCATGCTTCTCGAATTGAGCTCCAATGTAGGCTTCACAAACATGTTTCCAGACTTATCCATTTCCAGGCAGGTTTCTAGTTTTGGCATAGCCTTTTGATCAGGTTGAAAAATGGTCTTCTGAACTTCCTATTGAGCTCTCAATCACTTCAATATGTAGAGGAACACTCCAGCTTCAAAACAAGCCATTAATCTTCAATTTCCATCTAGCCAATTGTATGATATGAATCTCCAAAGTAGGCACCATGAAACTGTTTTTACACTGAAACAACAGATTAGGTCGACCTAATCCTAATGAGGTCGACCTAATCGTAAATGAGCTCGACCTGATCCTAATGAGGTCGACCTAATCGTAAATGAGGTCGACCTGATCCTAATGAGGTCGACCTAATTCTAACTGAGATCGACCGAAAAGTGCAAGTCACCATGACATGCATGTCACCGTAGGCGCACCCAAAAATTTAAAACAAATAAAACCAGTGTTGATTAGGGCTGCTAATGAGCCGAGCGGCTCGACGTTAGACTCGAGAAAATTTTCTTTCGAAACTCGGCTCGTTAATAAAGTAGCTGAACATGAACTAAGCTCGTGAAGCTCGTGAAACTCATGAGCTAGCTCAACTCGGTGGCTTGTTAAGCTAAACTCGTGAGCTGGCTTGTTTAGAGCTCATGATATGTCTCAACTTGTGGCTAGAGAGCTAACTCGATTACCGACTTATGGACGAATCAATCTATATCTTATGATTTTAATTCATATAGTTGTTAAATTATATATCTCACCATATATAAAGTTTAACACGTTAAGTATTTGAGCAAATATATATCTTATTTTCTACTTTAAAAAAAAATTATGTATCATAGATTTCTTCGATACTATGAAATAACATGATTTGAAGTAGTTAAAATTTATTAATAAATGATATATGATACCAAGAAAGTATAATATGAGATTAGCTAACAAAATAAATCATATGTGTCATTACAAAATGAAGTACCAAATAAAAGTCAAGATTTTAGTAAACAAGCTAGTTTGAGCTCGACTCGACTCGGCTCGTTAATAAACGAGCTGAGCTCGAGCTCGACTCGTTTATTAACGAGCCCAGCTAAACCTGGGGAAAACTCGATTTGACTCGGCTCATTTGCAACCCTAGTGTCGATTAATATCATTATATTCTATTTATTTGGTTTCCTCCAATACTCATACTCGACCCCGCTGCTGCCGGTGTTAAACAACCCATTCATTTGTAGATGATGGAGCTAAGATATTGGATAAATTACAAGTTTGGTCACCAAGTTTACTAAAAACGTCATATTTAGTCACTAAAATATTTAATTACATTAGTAGTCACTAAGATTAGTTAAACATTTAAAGTTTGGTCACTCTCCGTCCAACTCCATTAACTTTTGCTGATGTGTAAGTCAACTCTCATAGTTGACCGTTAAATGTGTGACGTGGTAATTAAAAAATAATCTATATCTCATTTAAAACAAAAAATTGAGATAAATAAAACATATATACAGAAAATGGATTTTCCTCTTCTCCTTTTGTGGTGTCTGCGCACAGGGATAATGGAAGGAAGGAGCAGAGCTCGCCAAACCCCTAATCATCCATAGCCCCTACCGGCGCCTCTACTTCTCCAAAACACTCTCGAAACCTCCTTCCTCCCTACCTCACAACCTGTACCCTTTGTCCCTACCTCGGTTCTAACGGCGGAGCAATGCACTCTTTCTAACGGTGGCCAAACTTACAATTTACCTGAAATTAAACTCAAATACAGAAAGAAGCAACTAGGATAATGTGTCATTGTCAGATGACGTGCTTAGTTCCCTCCAGTTCTTACATTCATGATTCAATATCACAAAATACAAAACCTCTTTTAACATTTCTGTGGAGTTTTCTTCCATCTTCACTGGAAAATATCATACATGAAATATTGGAGCCACCCAAACCAAGTCTGTTAAATTCCCTCCCATCCTCACATGTGTCTTCTCCCCATCTTTATTTTTATTTCCAACAGAAATGAAAGAAGAGGAATTGCAGCTTGCAGGCCACACTAAAATTGTGCATCAAGTTAAGACAGAGAGCATGAATGGGATTTATAGGCTTGTGCCACGAGAGGGATAGAGAGAGGGCTCTTCTTCAAAAACCAAACCACAAGGCATGATTTTTTTAAGGCATCAACTCAGTCTTGGATTCTTTCTTTCAGCAGTGTCTTTAGTTAGTGAGTTACATATTCAAGAGCACTGCAGTTTTGCACAATAGAAGAGAAGAAAGAAAGATTTTCATGTGCTACTCAGACATAATCTTTCTTATATTATTTCCCATATGGATTGGATTGTATTTGTACAGGAGCGAAACTGCAATTCGTCACTATTCACAACACATCTTACAACTTGCAACAATCCAATATAACCAATATTTCCAATCCTACACTATTCTCTCGGATTGATGGAATAATGCAATCCCTTACCTTATTTCAATTACAGTTCCATCCGTCTCTCGTCCTCTCCTCTTTTGAGGATAATTTAGCCACATATGGAGGTCAGGAAGGTGATGTATACTTGCATGTCCTTGGAGCCGTCCTAGAAGCTCTCCTCCATATATTTTTGTTAGTATTCATCCACTCTAGAACTGGAGTTCTTCAAAGGATAATCTCATGGCAAGTTGGCAATCTCCAGCTTGCAAAGACCATCACATCCATCTGATTTGTCCAAACGCAAAGGAAGAGTACGCAAAATGCTCCGGGACACCAGATATTGAAGGGTATATAACTAAGCATTATTGCTCTCTATATACTCTCTGGGAAGTCACCCTGATTGAAAAATGATCTGACCCTAGCTTCTTAATTCCATTTCCAAGGCTTGTATAAGGTGACCGACCGGTAAGCGCTTGAATTTGATAATATTGTTGCTACCCTGAATAGAAGAGAACAATTTGAGATCTGTTACTCGCATGAAATCCATAACTAGTTAGGCAAGGAGTTAGAAAAATTGAGTTGTGATGAGATATGAGAATAGGCTTTGAACTTACTGTGCATCAAGGGCCAGTTGTAGGTGGGGGTTGCAGCACCCTGTGCCCGAACAACTTTGCTAGGGTTCTCCGTTCACAATCCTGCACAAAGTTTAAAGAAAAATAGTTGTATTGAGTCCCAAACCAGATAGAAATGAAGTATGCATTTTTTCTCAGCTTACTATTGAGCATAGAAATTCACTAAAATGGCACTATCATATGTAATCTAATAATTGTCATTAGATAGATTAGATCACCTCAAACATGTTGAGATAAAATGGCTTATCTGGATTGGATCTCCTAAGTTTCAAGTAAGTGTATGCAAAGCTGAGTTGATCACGAGAAGTGAATCGTTCAACCTCATTGAACCACAGACACGAAAACAAATTTGACATTGGCGTGTGAGCCCTGATAATAAATGAACCTTCAGGCACATCTGCAAAGCACAAACCATGTGGCATCAATAACAGAACATGCATAATTAACTAACCCCGAAGCCATTAAAAAGTAAGGAAGATTGAACCAGAACGCAAGGAAAGAAAACATACAACTCGGGAGAGGAGTATTTGGGCCTAAAGTGTCAAACTTGGTGAGACCATCAGACCGATAAAAGTAGAACTGTCTATCTATTTCCCGATGGCTATATTTGTTAAGGCGCTTGTTCTGGAGTACCTCTTCCCATACACACTGACGATCATAATGTTTTGAGATAGCAAACTCTGATTTATTTCTCCACAAGAAGTGTTCAATGATATGCATCGGATCCACAACAAGTCGCAACTTGCTATCTACCCAAATTGAGTAGCTGAAAAGCGAAGGACGCAAGTAAATGGAAGAATAAAAATGTTAAAGAGTTTGATCAAGTCATGGATATGAAATTTAGGGAATTTAGTATCACGATTACCAAGAAGAAGGGAAGAGGCGATGCGACAAGAATTTTGGCACCTTCCCGGTTCTTCTCATGTCTGAGTATGGCAAGTTTTTCACAACTACTACTTTCCATAGACCAACATATCCTCGATCGTCAGGTTTATTTCCCTCGGAAGATATTTTCTCAAGTGTTTGGTCATCCACAAACATGACAAAACAAACGTTTTCCTTTGCAAACTCACTCATCTGCAACAAGGATAAGGCCGCTATTCAATATAGCAAAGGATAAGGAATGTAGAGGCGAAGCAAAATCTAGAACAACTCAAGAGTAGGATATTATAGAATGAGTTGACTAAAGTTTTTTTGTTCTAGAAATGATACACCAAAAGAATTCAAATCCAGGAACTTACATTTTTGCTAGCAGGCCTTCTCAGGAAATCAGAGCTGCCAAAAATACAGGAGGATACAGCAACTATACATTTTCTCATGTACGCTTTGTCATTGTCATCCAAATCAAACCCGGTGCTCGGAGATCCAGGAGGTCCTTTTACAAATCCACAATGAAGGGTTTGATTGCTAGCATAGAAGGAATTCTCTCTTTGCTCCATGGTCTGATGTCCTCTAAATCCCGACCTACTAGAATTCATTGCTGGAGGTCTCTCCTCACTATTCACGTACCCTAATGAAAATTGCGTAAAATTCCTCACTAAATCTGGTTCCATGAAATAATCCACCGCCTCTGCAAATTCAACTGGACAAGGAAGATCTGAAGGAAAAAAAACCCGCCAACACATAAAGTAATGGGAATCAGAAAGACGAGAATTTGAAAATCCAATAAAATGAAAACATGGATATGAATTGGTAGCCGCATAACAAAAAAAAATAGTAGGCATCCCGCAATGAACAATGCTCGGGAAAGCCTCCAAACGGTAAGGAAAAACAAACTTACATTGCTTCCGGTGCTTGCCCCCTGGAGGTTTCCCAACAAAACCGGCTCGAGAGAAGTTTTGAAGCTCAATTTCGTTTGAAGAATTCGAAGAAGGGAATGAAGAGGAGTTCCCACCAATTTCTTCATGGACCAAGGAAATCTCCATCTCCATTGTCACCTTCCGTGAATCTTGCATATCAAAATTACCTGCTACTAACGAAAATAAAGAAGACGGAAAAATTCCCCCGCTTAATGAATGGCGCCATTGCCATTGTAATAACAAAGACATAAAGCAAAGAGAAAAACTTGTGGGAGCAGGAAATATTCACCATGAAAGAGGAATCTGATACCGAAGAGACCGGTGAACATCAAGCAAAGAGCAGAGAGCAACACAATCCAGACCTAATAAATAGGTCTAATGAACCGGCCAATCCTCCTCCCTCTTCGAACGAGTCGGAAACCTTGTTGCTGCTCTGTGCGACCTGAGGAATTAAACCCGACACCAAAAGTGCTCCTCCTCTCTGGCGGCAATTCCACATTCAGCTTATACACTGCCATTATATTCTCTTTTGCACCTCACCTCCGGCGCAACCGGCTAATCTACAGCGACCCAGGAAAAAAATTCAAAAAAGCACGGAGGATTCAGTTTTGATTCCGAAGGAGCGAAAGGTGTAGCTCAAAGTGGTGGGATTAGCTGAAGGATTTGGGAGGATTCAAGAGCGGTAGAAGCTTCGTTCATCGGCGGAGCGATTAATCAGTGTTCAAAACACACAAAAAAAGAAAGAAAAAAGTCAAAGAGAGTGAAAAAGGGAATATTATTTTTCGGGGGGTGCAGTCTCAGAAAGCCACACATAGATCAAGGATTTCCCAAAAATTTAGGCTGTAAAATATATTCTGATATAAAGCTGGATGCTGGAAAATTTCTTTATTTTCTATTTTATAGGAAACTCGGGCTTGAATGCTGAGTTTGACTGCCTGCTCTCCCCCACCTGTGCCGCCGTGTCTTAAACAAGTAACAAGTACAGAAAATCATGAAAAAAATACGAGAGAAATTGGATATAACGAAAGGGATTAACATTTAACGACCATCTTTTAACTATTTTCAGTTGTATTTCCCTATTATACTCGCAAAGCATAAATTTTACCAACTTAATGACCATCTTTAAACATTAATCAATTGGATTGATATAGAAGTCGATTAATTTTATGATCTTATTCATTCATTCCTATGTAATCTCATGATTCTTTGGAAGTTGGATTTGAATTCAAATTTCACATTAATACCTTATTTATGTTAAAAAGTATGTGTTTGGCTTGCCCAAAAGTAATGTGTTCATAGTATTGGTACGAACCGGATAACATCTCCTATATTGTTTTAGTGCTCATAACACTATAAAACTCAAACCGTAAAAAATATAATTTATGTATTAAACTATTCAATATGACAATCTAGCACAAAATATTTTATTTGTTAATGTTGACCGATTTCAAAGCAGTCAAAATCAGGATTTTGCGTAAAATGAAAAATAGGGGCAAAATCGGAATCGTAAAATCGTAGGATTTTAAGGTCCATATAAAAAAAGAAGAAAAAATAATATTAATAAGGAAAATCACGTATAACACAAAAACACATAACACTTAGAATGATAATTTCTCAAGGTTAATGTTCCTTTTTTATCAAGGTTAATATTAAGAGGTGGCGAATATATAATGATTAATACGTTGATGTAAATTGATGATAGTGGATGATGGTTAGTGTGAGAGAACTAGATGATGTTGGTGAAGGAGAAGGAAACGAGACGTAATTTTGCAAATTTTGGGAAAATTAAGTAAAATTGACTCAGAGATTTTAAGGATTTAAATCATGAATAGTGTAGGATTTTAAGATCCATAGATTTTATAGCGAAATCAGAATCAGAATAGGTAAGTAAAATCGCAAGATCGTAGGATTTAAGGATTTAAATCGGGATTTGACTACTCTGACCGCTAGTATTTAACATAAAATCTAGTCAGTAGTGATGTGACATATGATATGGAATTTGAACTTAATTTTTATTAATTTCTTTTAAATCAATTATGGAATTTTAAACTTAATTATTTATTTATTTTAAAATTAATTTTTATTAACTTTGAAATTGCACGAGCTGACTGCCATGTAAGCAAAAGTTAACGAAAATGGATGGAGAGTGATTAACTCAAATATTTAACTAGTTTTATTGACCACAAATGAAATTGAATATTTTTAGTTACTAAACGTGAACGTTTTTAGTAATTCCAGTGACAAATATTGTAATTTACCCCAATGAGAATGCCACGTGTAAAGTTTGTGGTTCTTCCTTACTTTTTGCGTTGCTCTCTTACATTATTGACATCTTTTCTTGCGGTGGAAGTGAGTATAGTCGTTGCTACCTGCTTCCACCCTCTGGTAAGAAGAGCCATCGTTCAAAGATGGTAGAATCACTTTCACCATCCTTTAAAAGTCAAGCCTCTTTTTTTTTTTGGTAAAAGATAATCATATATTGATACTCAGAAAAATAGATCATTACAACGCCTGCCTCAACCAGGCCACAAAATCAAACGAACGACTCGCTATCGGGTACAAAGAGAGGGCCTTTCTAGCCACCAAGTGGGCTACCCTATTACTACGCCGACCAACGAACCGAACACCAAACCCATCATTCTCCGCCAAGTACAGCAACACTTCCCGGAAAATGGCTCCCGCCAGACCATCACTCCCTTGAGCCATAAGCAGTCTATCCACAACCACCTTTGCATCCCCCTAAAAGAGGACAAAGAATAAGCCTCTGCTCCGACACCAGAGGATTGCGTCCCGGAGCGCCAACACCTCCACAAGCATTGGGTCATCAATCTCCGGGAAACACACCCCCCTTGCACCGACAACCGCCCCATCAGGGCCCAGCAACACCATCCCTCCAGCCGAATGAGAACCTCTCTCAACTTCTCCATCCCACCTACAGATGAGAGAGTCCGGGCTACCAGACGGCCCCACCGTGCTCAGCCGCCCAGGGGCACCCCACACATTATCTCTAGGAAGCGACTCCCACTCCTCCACTTGCTGGTGATACTGCCGCATGAGAGCTGACATACCGAACTATTTCCCTTCAAAAACTACCCAGTTCCGAGACTTCCAGATCCGCCATAGCACCGCTATAATGGCCATGACGTGGGAAGAGTCCCTAACGATGGCTAGGAGTTTCTTGAGGAAGAGAGGAAAGTTAAGACGAGGCAGGCCCTGGCCCACGTGCTCTAAGCCCGCTAAATCCCACAACGCACGAGCCACACGGCAGTCTAGGAAAAGATGTTCCATAGTTTCCGGCGCACTCCAGCACACAGGACAACGAGGATGAACATCCACCTTCCTGCCAATGAGCGCTTCCGTGGTGGGGAGGAACCTATTTAGAACTTGCCATAGGAACACCTTTAACTTAGGCGGGATTGCCAAGTTCCACACACGCTTCCAGCTTCCCCTATCCATCCAACTCACCACCGGCCGCCAACCCCCAGGCTGCTTATCTAGCCGAACTGGATGATAAGCTGATTTCACAGTGAAGTTCCCATCACCCGTCTCATGCCAGACCAACATGTCCTCCATTGGCCGACGCGGCAGAGGAATCCGACGGATAGCACGGCAGATATTCGGGGGGAACCACACTTTGAGCTTATCCAGTACCCAGCACCTCTCAGTCGGACAAATGAACTCAGACACCTTCAAATCCACTCCCTCCGCTAGAATTCGGGGATTAAAACTAGGGGGATCAGGGTGGAACGAAGGTACCCAATTCTCTGTCAGGGCCGCTACCCCTCGCCCATCCCCAATCTGCCATCTCAGGCCCTGAACCAACAATTGCCGCCCATGCAGGATACTCTGCCAACCCCAGGAAGGCCGAGAGCGAGGGGTTGCTGACAGGAAATCGCCACGAGGAAAATACTTCCCTTTATATACCTGTGCCAGGAGGGACTGGGGATCAGTCAGAATCCGCCACCCAATTTTTGCCAGGAGAGCTTGATTGAAAAACTCAAAACGGCGAAACCCCATGCCACCCTCGTGCTTGCTCTGACACATCCTACGCCAAGACATCCATCTAATGCGTGAGTGCCCATCCTCCACACCCCACCAAAACCGGTCAACCAGCCTATCCAAATTACGACAAAGCGAGAGGGGCAACTTAAAGCAGGACATCACATGGAGCGGTAGAGCCGAAGCAACAGACTTGATCAGGGTTTCTCTAGCCGCTGCAGACAACGATTTCTGAGCCCATCCCTGAAGTCGGGCTATCAACCTCTCCTCCACAAAACGAAAGGTGGACGTTTTCGAGCGAGAAATGAGAGATGGTAACCCTAGGTACTTATCATGGACCCCCACCGCCCCTACTCCCAACACTTGGGCGAGGAAATCTTGGTCAGCACCAGTGATGTTCTTACTAAAGCAAACTGCTGACTTTTCTAAATTCACCCTCTGTCCGCTGAGTTCCTCATACTCGTTCAGGACTACAATCAGGTTCTCGCATTGCTGAAGCGATCCACGAAGGAATAAATACGAGTCATCCGCAAAAAACAAATGAGAGATCCTAGGGGCTTGAGGAGCCACTTTAATGCCCTCCAGCTTCCCTTCCTCAATAGCCTTTCGAGGAAGAGCCGCAAATCCCTCCGTACAAAGCACAAACAGTAGCGGAGAAAGGGGGTCTCATTGCCGCAATCCTCTGGAAGCGCGGAAAAACCCTGCCGGCGACCCATTCATTAGAATGGAAAACGAAGCCGAGCTAAGGCACTCCCTAACCCAGCCAATCTAGGTCTGGCTGAAACCTAGTTTGGCCAGAATCGTAAGAAGAAAGGACCATTCGACTCTATCATAGGCTTTTTCCATGTCAACCTTCAGAGCCATGTATCCCTTCTTCCCCCGATTTTTAATTTTTAGGTAATGCATTAGCTCATGCCCTAGTAACACATTCTCCACTATCTGACGCTCCCGGATAAACGCATTCTGTCCTCCCGACACAATCCGGGGTAAGAACTGGGCCAGTCTTTCTGTCATAATCTTGGCAATCACCTTATATACAAACTGGCAAAGGCTAATAGGCCGCAACTGGCGAATATTCTCCACATTATCAACCTTCGGAATCAGGGTGAGCCAGGTATGATTGAAACTTCGTAGGAGCTTGCCTGAATGGAAAAAGGAGTAAACAGCCTCAACCACCGAGGCGCCCACAATATCGCTGAAGGCCTTAAAAAACTTCCCTGTGAAGCCATCTGAACCAGGGGCCTGCTTAGAACCCATTGCAAAAATGGTTCTACGTACCTCCTCCGGGAGAACTGGAGCAATCAGTCGGGCATTCATTTCGTCAGTGACTTTACGGGATATCGGTAGGGCATCAACCCTGGTCCGCATATCAGGAATTTGATTTTCCGAAGTGAAAAGAGTTTGATAAAAATCAATGGCCAAGTCCGCCTTCCCCTTCTCCTCCGTAATCCAATTCCCGTCCTCATTCCGTAGTCTCTCCACAAAATTCCTTTTCCGTCGAGCCCGAGTGACCGTATGG